CTTCATATTTTTTCTGAAAAAATCCGAGAACCAACAAATTATTGGTGTGGCCTAAACAAGAGAGAAGAACAGAAATTAGTTCAGATGGGTAATGTATGTGTACATTAGACTGATTTATGAATAGTAGTAATGCTACTATTATGTCCCAAATGCTACTAACAAAACAATGAATTTTGAACTTTTAATTAAACCACTGCATTGATGGAAAAACTGCAACAACTAGGCAGAAAACGACTTTCCTCAACTGTTGGGGGCAAAATATGAGCATTTTTTAGATGATTCAGAACCAAAATCTTTTTTTATTTTTTTTTATTTTTTGCAAATCAGAAAAAAAATGAAGAGGCGAATCCGAGAACCAACAAATCAAATTGGAGTGGCCTAAATGTATGATGTCCAAATAACTCTCTAACCTGTCTAGCCCTCTCTTGTTCTTGCCGTTTCTTCTCCAGTTCTTCCTCTCTTTTCTCCTGTGCCTCTTTCTCTTGTTTGATCTTCTCCTGTTTCTGTCTTCTCAGCTTCTCCAGCTGTCTGTCTCTCACTCTCTTTTCTTCTTCTATTTTCTCTAGTTCCAGCTTCTTCTCTTCTTCCTTTTCCTGCATCTGATTGAAAAGGTTGGAGTGAATTCCAAAACAATTGTTGATCCAAGCACAGACATCTATAATGTACATTGTGTATACCCAGGGCTCGAAATTCATTTTTGGGAATTTTTGAGCATCCAAGCTAAAAAATTGGGTGCACAAAATTTTCTGTGGGTGCACCATATGAGATGAATAAGTAGAATGCCAACTAAACTCAAATGTTTCGTTTCTAACAAAAAGTACTACAAGAAGGATTTTACTTAATATTTTACTAGATACACTTACACAATAGATGTTAAGAATATGCTGAATACTAGACAGGTACTACAGTAACTGTAACAGAAACTCTACATTTAACATCTTGACATACGTAAACCTACAAAAAATATTTGGGTGCACTGGTGCACCCACAGAAAAAAACTGGGTGCTCAACTCCAAATTTGGGTGCACTAATTAAGGTGCACATGCACCCAGTATTTCCAGCCCTGAGACCTGAATATGCCCTTTTTTGTCATTTAAAATCAATTTATGATACTAAGTCTATACTCTGTTGATTCTGAATCTGTCAATCAAAATCAAATGAAAAAACATAAAACAAAGACACAGGGCAGCATACAATTTAAGTGACCTGTAAATTATCAATCACCATATTGTTGATTCTGAATCTGTCAATCAAAATCAAATGAAAAAACATAAAACAAAGACACAGGGCAGCATACAATTTAAGTGACCTGTAAATTATCAATCACCATATTGGATTATGGTGGAGGTTCAAATACCCCTGGTAAACTATAGAGTGTTAAATGCTCCCAAATGACTCAACAATAACACATTGCAGTGTTAGAAATACCCATTAGCAGTCTGCATGAAAGTTCATCTGAGTTGGTAAATTACATTACCATACTGAAAAACTTAAACTTTTCTCCAACTCAAAATTTGACTCACCAGAAATTTTCGACTGAATCACTCAGTCTTCCTCAGCTATCTGACCCAAATGCTGTGGACACGTGATTTTTCCCACGTGTGACGTCAGCAAAGGGTCAAAGGTTGTCTGAAGTCGATATCGCCTGATTACATCAGGGCACTTCAACCATCGCTCAACCGGGACGGGGGGCAATATCGACTTCAGGCAACCTTTGACCCTTTGCTGACGTCACACGTGGGAAAAATCACGTGTCCACAGCATTTGGGTCAGATAGCTGAGGAAGACTGAGTAATTCGGTCGAAAATTTGTGGTGAGTCAAATTTTGAGTTGGAGAAAAGTTTAAGTTTTTCACCATTAGCAGTCTGTATTTTTCAAATTGCATGTAACGTAAAATATCTGTCAACATGCAATTTTGTTTGTGCCATGGGTTTAGATCTGGACTCTTACGTGACTGTGTATTTGCAGCAAGTATTTACGAATGGCAGAACAAAATTCTGACATTCTGCAATATTGCAGAACACTGCAGAGAAGTATTTCTATACCACATTTCAATTCTGCTGAAAAGAGAAGAGTAAGAGAAGTTGGTTGGCCTGATTCTTACATCTCTGATGTGCTGCAGTCTTTCTGCTTCCAGTTTTCTCTTCTCCTCCTCAATTCTCTGCTTCTCCTCTTCTATTTTCCTCTTCTCTGCTTCCAGTTTCTCCAGGCCCATCTTGGCTAACTCTGAGATCCTGAGCTCAGCTTCTGAAGGCCCTGATGTTTTATCTGACTCGGATGTTTTGTCCAAAGGTATCTTCGGCTTAGTACTTCTGTCTACTTGTGGAAAGGATGTCTGAGTTGTTCCAGGCTGGAGGTGGAGTAACAGTGGATATAAATGGTTATTCAACAGTAAATGTACTGTACAATAACATTACTGGTCAATTAATATACAATATACAATAAAACAGATTTTCAAAAGAAATAAAAAAATTTTCATCAATGGTAAATCAACTGACAGTGCTACTATTTTGTAGTAAATTTATTGATTTGATTTGATTTGATTTGATTTATTAAACTGTATATTAAACTGTTACAGATATATACAGACAGGACTGCCCAACTAGCCAGAGAATATTATAAAGGGCTAGCCCTCACAACAATAACATAAACAATTCGGAACAGTTAACAGTTAACAGTGTCGGTTAAACTTTAGATATTTTGTAGTTCCTAAAACAGACAAATGCAATTAAACAAGCTTTATGTTTCTTTCCAAACAAGTTATTTTCTTTTTTTTACAAAGTTCCATGTACCTGTACATTAATACTTTTTTGAGCCAGGTTGCCCACTGTAAAAAATCAGGTTGCCCATCAGAATTTTAGATTGCCCTACTTATAAGTTACTACTTTCCTCAAATTACTGTAAGTAATGTTACATAAAGAAGACTTTGACAATATTTCTAACAGCCTTTTGTTAACTGATACTACTAATAGCCATGCATTAATACCTAAAATTAAAAAGCATCTGCCGGATACAGTGGTGCAAGCCAAGTGGGCATGATTCTTTTTTTGGAGGGGGGGGGGCATTCTTAAAATTCAGGTAGCACACTGGCCTACCTAGGTTCAAAAATAGGTTGCCCCAAGTAAAATTTGGTTGTACCTGTGAAGGTTTGTTGGCCTGGACAACTGAGTCTTCAGCAGCAGCTGTTCCATTCACCATGGACGGGGGTGTCTGTGGGGTTGGTGAGGAGGGGGGGACTTTTACTACTGGTTTAGTCGCTCTGTTGACCTGAAAACAAAGATGTATACTTTAGTTAGTCCCTTTTACACTCACTCACTCACTCACTCACTCACTCACTCACTATCTCACTCACACTCACTCACACTCACTCACTGACTGACTCACTATCTCACTCACTCACACTCACTCACTGACTCACTATCTCACTCACACTCACTCACTCACTGACTGACTCACTATCTCACTCACTCACACTCACTCACTCACTCACTCACTGACTGACTCACTATCTCACTCACTCACACTCACTCACTCACACTCACTCACTCACTCACTCACTCACACTCACTCACTCACTCACTCACTCACTCACTCACTCACTCATTAGTGACAGGTGTGAAAAATGTGTGACACAGGTGTGATAAACATTATGTTACAAGCGTGATAAACATGAGTTACAGGACTGGTGTCACATGAATGAAAATGTGTGATAAACATGAGTTACCCGAGTGAAAAACCTTTGCTCTGATTGATATCACTTAAAGGCCCAAATGCAGTTTCAGCAATAATATTATAATAAGTAAAACATTTTAGTGATTTACTGCCATTTCTTACCACAGATTCATGATCATTTCATACTTGAGGCATTTGAAATAGCCCCAAAACAAGCTATGTGAGGAGTCCTTTATTTTTTGGTACCACCAATAAATAGCTAGAACCAGCCTTCAATACGAAACGTGCAACAGTTTTCTGTCAGCAACATCACAATTCATTTTTAAAACACATGTTGGTATATGCTATGGGATACAAAATTGCCTTTGACTGTATTAGTTTCACTGCTCTGAAATCTGTTTGGGTGCCTTTAAACTTATGGCCACACCGACCTAATTTTATGGATGACATCCTCTGAAAACCCCCAAACTAGTGTGCGCGGGCAAATAAAAAAAATTCTGACCAAAAATAAAAATGCTACGAAACCACAGGAATGCAAAGCTGGTATTCTGAATTTGTGGCAGTACATAGCGACGTATGCGACAAGCCGGCACATACTGGCCTTTTGCGGAAGTTGTAAATCGACACTGTATGTATGTAGTACACTGAGTTCTTGAGTCGTGGAGCTTCAGTAGCCTGGGTGCCATCCTCCAGAGTTACCACCGGCTCCGTATTGTTACTAACTACATGGACTACCCAGGCCAGAGCCACAGAGGACATTTTTTTTTTGAGAACAGGTGAAAATCAATGTGCTTGCGATGTCATCCATAAAATTAAGTTGGTGAGGCCTATAACCATCATGAAAGAGTGTATGTAGGTGAGTGAGGTTGAAAGTTTCTAACCATTGGTGGAGATGGCTTCAAAATGTCCTTAGTCTCCTGTGAGGCTGTGGCACTGACCAGCCCTACAGTAGGACCGCTCTGATTGGCTGTTGAGACAGGAACAGGCTGAACCTGACCATCCGGAGAAGACCTCTCATCTTTCTTCTGTTCCAGCTTTTCTGGCTCTTCTTCAACCTCATCATCAAGTGTTGGGTACTCAAAGTTCACTGTCCAACAGGAAATAGGCATTTTAAAGTATAAGACAAATATTTGAAGGCAACTGCACTTATGTCACATATAATATACACAATAATGTACAATGATGGTCTACACTCAACTTCAACTTATTCTTTGCTCCTTTAAATAAGGCCACAGCAAATAAAAAATTTTATGGATGACATTCTTCACAAATCTAATGCGAGCGGGTGAAAAAATAAGATTCCTACATTTTCAAATGTTGACACCATATTTAACATTAAACAAGAAATAATATACTGCCAAACTTACTATTACAACATCCATTTGTCACTGAAAAATACCTTTTTTTTTTAAAAATCATGATTGTACATATTATAATAGTTTTGATTCAGTGGGAACATATAAACACATATAAAAGGAATGAAATACTTTTTTTTTCTATGCTGCATCAAAGCAAAAGACAAATAATAAATCAGAGCATTGTCTTGTCTCCTCTCTTTATATTTATCTGTCATCCACGTTCCGATGGCAACAGACATCTTTGCCCATTTTTGGCATGTTGACCAATCAGCAGCCACCAAAATTTCTTGTTTTTTTCCCCAAAATCAGACAAAAATTAATGCACGCTGATGGCATCCATAAAAATTAATTGGTGAGGCCTTAGGCCACACCAATTTAATTTCTTAGTTAACGGATTCGCCCGCTTCATTTTTTTTCTGATTTGCAAAAACAAAAAAATTCAGAATCAATTGCAAAATGCTCATATTTTGCCCTGACAGTTGAAAACAGTCCTTTTCTTCTTAGTTGTTATAGATGTTCCATCTTTCAATGCAGTGGTATCATTAAAAGTTCAAAATTCATTGTTTAAATTTTGAGCCAGCCTGGTGTGTTGACTTCATGGCTCCTATCGTACCATTTTGGGCCATAATAGGATGCATATAGGCCTGTTTTTTTTTTTTTCCCGCCCACCCGCCCGCTCAATTATTTTTCTAGAAAAATCCGTTAAACAAGAAATTGCAATTGGTGTGGCCTTACATAAAACTAACATTGTGCTTACATGACATGATGTCCTGTTGTTCTTGTTGCCTGTATGCTGGAGGACGTTGGAAGCTGGGGTTAGTGGTGTACATGGGGTAGGTGAACAGCCAGTTGTCAAACCCTCCCTCCAGTACCAGGGGCTCACTCTTTATTATGGTCACTGAATCCCACTGGGAAAGAACAAAATACAAATTATAAGGTACATTTTATATTACTATAATATTATAGTCTCATAGATCAAACAAATGGACAAGGGAGGACTGAGCACTGAAAAGCTACAATGTACAAATGTACAGTACACAGAAACACACACTCACATACAATGTACACTGTACACACATGTGCACATATTTAAATATACAACAGACACATTAGACATACAAACACAGCATACAAATGTACAAATACACACACAGACAAACATACAACAGACACACAGATATACAAACAATTATTATTACATAGTTACACACACAAACATGCACACATGCACACAGTCATACAAACTCATACACATACACCAGGGCTCAAAAGTCATTTTTGGGAATACAGTACCATTCGCGTTATAGTTAACCGGGTACCCCGTTACTGAGTTAGATTTTCGTTAGAATATGGTTAGATTTTCGTCAGAAAATCGTTAGATTTTCGTCAGAAACTCGTTAGAAAATCGTCAGAAATTATGTCTAACGCGTTAGGTGCACCTAAAAAATTGGGTGCACAAAAAATATTTTAGGTGCATCTATTATGATAAAATAAGTAGAATGTGAGCAAAAACTAAATTGTTTCATTTCTATTAGAAAGCTACTACATGACATGAATACCAATTATCATTTTGACATCTTTACATACGTTAAACCAACGAAACTATTTGAGTACTGGTGCACCCACATAAAAAATTGGGTGCACAGCTCCAAATGTGGGTGCACTAAGGTGCACAATCCAGTACTTCCAGCCCTGTACACACACATACAAACACAGAGACACAAGGACACACACACAAAGACAAACACGCACACATACTGAGATGAAGTAATTATCCTCATCAATTATCCTCAGGTCTAAGCTAACAAAGTTACCAGTTTGTGTTCTACATACAGTTTGGATCCTAATTACTGTAGAACAGTTCTGTTATAGGACAGTTACATGCCCGTAGCCAGGATTTTGAATGGGGGGGGTTTCCCACTGCTTGAGGGGACCAGTGAGCGCTGTAGGTGCGAGGCGAGCGCTGAAGGATATTTAGAAAAATGAACCTTCTGAAATGAAATTTCCTTCGCCTTTTAGAGGATTTCAAAGTAAAAAAATCAGAGATAACTTTTTTCAATGACAAAGTGAGCAGTTTTCATACGATTCTAGCCTCGCTGGTGACACAAATAAGTCCATCTTTTAAAGAACAATCTTGGACCTTTGGACAAAAAGTGGACCAAAAAGTGGACCTTTGAGCCTTGTGTGTGTGTTTGTGTGTGTGTGTGTGTGTGGCTACGGGCATGAGTACATATCAAACACTGTTGTAAGGCTAGAAATCAGATTCTGAAGTCATCTGGAAGATATTGTACCTTAAACATAGCATCCTTCAGGCTCTGCAGAGTAGATCCAACAGCAGGGTGTTCAGTCGTCCCCTCCCAGTCTACCAGGATGATGTGGTCCACCTGTCCCCGCCTGTCCCACTGTCTCCTGGTATCCTCAGGTAGACTCTTTTCCAGTACGCTAACTGTGGTGCTGTGTACAGGGGTTCAGTAATAATGTCAGATTCTATCCCTTACATGGCAGGGCTCTAGCCAGCTTGAAATCTCCGACAGCCCTGGTTCATGAGCAGAGCTAGCAATCTAGAGGAGTCCAGGGACAAATTCTGTATTTTCAAGCCTCTAAAAATGCAATTTCGCACACTTTGAGAGGCAAATCATAGGGTTGACAGTGGTTGTTGGTAGTCCTTGGTTCACTTGACATTCAGCTCTATCATAGAACACTGCAAAAAAGTATTTCTCACTCTTGTATGCTTTTTTGTACTATGTATGTGTAAAATTTAAAAATGTGTGTTTTAGTGGACATTGCCTAATGTAAACTTTATCTAACTGACTTGTTGATATAATTCATCTAACGCATACATGTACCTCTTCCATCATGACCACAATAAACAGCAGCTTGCAGGAGGATTTTAACTTCTCATGAAGCAAGTTTAAACTGTAATTTCCAACACTACAAATTGGACTCACCCAAATTTTTGACTGTACAACTCCAGTCTTTGTCAAGGAATGAACAATCCACCGATTCCGTGACTGGAGTTGTACAGGCAAAAATTTGGGTGAGTCCATATTTTTCTTGTGTTGAAAATTACAGTTTAAACTTGCTTCATAATGACTTGTACCAACACAGATGAACTTTCAAGATAAGAGTTCAACTTCTCATGAATAAAACATGGTTAAAACCAGATCTGTCCACATTACCCAGGTTTGATGATGTCTGCTGGAATGTTGATGCTGTTGTCATGTTTGAAGTGAGAAGAGTCATACTGGTCCTTTGGCCGTACATCCATGAGCAGGAAGGACGTGTCTTTATCCTGTATCATGTTGTACAGCTGGTCTGCTGAGATCAACCCTGGCTTGCAATCTTTTATTACTGGAGAAAAAGAAACATTTTCATCTTTAAGTTATTTCCAATAGAAACACACATTAAAAGCTGATGTTCCTTTCCAGTTAACCATGGTCCTTTTCAGCACCAGTTACCATGGTGACAGATGTCTGGTCCAGGTCATTAATGGTACCAGAGTACATATACACGTAGCAAAAGCTAAAGAAATTAGTGATACCTACCATTGATTAACAAAGGGCAAGAAAAATAAAGTACCTGAAACACTCTGCTTTAGAGCCTTAGTGATGTCATCTGGCTCATCTGACTTCTCAGGTGACAGAGGAGTTGTCTTCTCTCCTACCTGTCAACAGAACACAAGGTTTGAATATTTGTTCCACTTTTGAACATGGGTGAGTTTGAAACAATCCATTTTTGCATGGGGAGGGAGATGGAGTGAAATATGCTGTATTTGTATTACTCAAACAAATGTTGGCCTTTCATACTGCATAATGTATGCATTTTGTACTTTTTCAATGAGCTGAAATAACAATTATGACTAGAACATTTGCAAAGCATAATGCATAACGTTTTCCTTCACCTGGTCTAGCCTAACAATCTACTGTACTGTTCATTCTTACTCAAAGTCAAATACAATCATATGTAGGTATGGTGAGCAGGCTCTCCAACTCTCTTCTACTACATAATGTAACCCAACACCACAGGGTGTCTGCTACAGCCCCAGTTACCATGGTGACAGACATCTGGTTCAGGTCATTGACTTTGTTTGGAACAGAAGAAAAAGAAACTGAGCGAAAACAATTATTTTCTCCTTCTGCGAAAGTTAATATGATCAAAGCTAAGATCCCAAATGTATCTGCCAACAGTTCTTGTTCTGTCCTCACCTTTAGAAGACTGTACACCCCTGATGATGACAGTTTGTCCACAGGTACGTAGGGGTAGAAACTACCAACATCATCACTGGGAGAGAGGGTGACTTTATCATCCTTGCCAGAACTGTCTCTCAGCACTTCTAATTCTTCTGCAACTTTCTGGGCCTTCTCTGCATCTGCTTTCAGGTCATACCTACATGTGCAACAGAAAAGAATGAAAAAACTAGAAATGTAACATTTAAAAAGCAAAATACATAATGTTTATCTTCACATGGCCTAGCCTGATAAACTACTCTGATGTCCCGATTAAACGTACCGGTACGTTTATTTTTTTCGGCCCGAACGTCCACCCGGTACACTCTTATTAGGGACGGTACGTTTATTAATTTTTTTGAAAAAAATTGTCCATACGTACCGCACCATCAGCAAGTGGCCGGCGGCCGCAAAATTCGGCAACACGTCACAGATAAATATTTGGTCCATGAAAGCGGCATTTCCCATGAATATAATGTATATTATTTATTTTTCACCTGCTGTCCATTTTTAAGTCCCAAAACGTCTGAAAAAGCAAAAATTTGCCCACAAAACCGAAGGGGAAGGCGAGTAGCTAATCGACGTAGGCGGCCGCAAGTCCTTGTCAAAATCGGCAACGCGGCAGAAAAATGCCTGGTCCATTTTAGCGATATTTACCATGAAAAAAACGTATGTGGTTTATTTTCCCTCTGGTGTTAAGTTTTAGGTCCCGAAACCCCTAAAAAAGTAGAAATTTGCCCACAAGACGGACGGCCGACGTGGGGAGGGCGCCTAGCGCCTGAGCAGCATGACCCGTAAAAAGTCAAAGGTCATAGGGCACCCATATTGCGCAATCACCGTAAAGCGCCGATTTAGCTAATTTTAGGGCGTTTAAAATTGATACAATCACATTATCGATTTTTAAAAAAACAATGAGATGGAAACCAATCAAAATTTTATGCTGAATAATATTTTTTTTCTTCAAAAGTTTTTTTCTTCAGATTCTGAAGTTTTTCTTCAGAATCCAGACTTTGACCAGACTAGACAATGTACCATACCAAATAATTATTATGTTGAAATGGATTTTGTTGTACATATACTCATTAAACCCCTATACATTGTATTTGTACTTAATTGGGCTTGATTTTCTATCTCTTAAGTTAGTCAGATTTTCAACTCAAGTTGCAGGAGAAGGCTTAGCAAAGTGCATTTCAGAAGTGTAAAATGCAATAGCTTCTCCTACGGATTTTGTATTTCCCCAAAACAAGTACAATATATATATACTCATTAATTAAAGTGATATATACTCACTAATTAAATGTAACAGTGAAAGATTTGCCCATATATTGGTATTGAAATAAAGAGCACATTTTAGTATCATGGACACACAGTTCACCTGTCAATTTGGTCTTTTTCCGGGGGGTACGTTTATTCCGGAGGGTATGTTTATTAGACTTTGAAGATTTGTCCGGGGGGTATGTTTATTCCGGGGGGTATGTTTATTAGGGACATGAGAGTACTGCAATGTTTTACTAAACTCATACAATATATATATTGATAAGTAGCAACGCAGACTCTGTCTTGCTACATAATGTAACTCAAGACCGTCGGGCATCTGCTACAGCACCAGTTATCATGGTGACAGACATCTGGTCAGGTTATTGACTTTATTTGTTTGGAGCAGAAGAAGAACAAGAAACTTAGCAAAAACAAAGCTTTTTTTCTTTCGCGAAGGTTAGACAGCTGATTATATAATTTGCAAAGGACAGTCCTAACACTTTAAACCATCGACAAATAATTGTTGTCTTTTGGCCTATGGCTTTATAAATGGTTACAATTACACCCAGTTTGTTGCCTGTACGGGTCTAGCCCCCAGCCAAACTCTGAAGTTGGAAGTCATAATCAAGACCTTGTTTACACACAATACTAGTTCACTACATTATCCAATGCATACATAGTTCTCTACGAACATTATAATAAAAAACCAACCTGTCATTCAGGCTCTTGGACAGTTTTTCAGCTTCTTCTATTGCCTTCTTAGCATTGGAGGACCCCATCAACTTGGCATAATAGGACTGGGGAAAGAAAGAGAACAAGTGATTTTCAAAAAAAGCTGTCCTTTCGAGACGCTATCATTGTCATATGTTACAATGTCTTAATGCTACTCTGTACCTGCTTGGAGATAACTTTTTAGATATGCCATTGTACATCTGCTTGAAGATGATTCCATATACAGTCAGGCAATAAATGCCACCCTACATCTGCTTGGAGATGACGATAGTCAGACCACGGATGCCATCAACATCTGCTTGGAGATTAGTGAAATTATCAAAAGAAGTACATACAGGCTGAGCAAACCATTGAACATGGTCTGAAATAAGACCAATTGGTTAATCTCCAAGCAGATCATACGGTGGCAAGGCAGTATCCATTGGCCAGAGGAGTGTCCATTAGCCACCGAAGATCTGCCTGCAGTCGAAACGTCAAAGGCTATTAACACCTAGTTGTTGCCTACTCAGAATGTGTTTGCCAAGTAGTTTATTGCCCTAACCACCGGGCAAGGCTATTGTCCTCCTTGTGGGGCTGCATGGTTGACCGTTACAGGAAGTCTGTCTATGGGTCACAACACCAACTGTTATACATGTATTGGGCAGTTTAAACAATGGATCCGGAGGAGAAGGTTCACCTTGTGTTTTGTAATGTCTGGCATGGAGTTTTAAATTTTAACCATAAGTATCCATTTCCATGTTTCAGAAAGCATCACAGTGCCAGCATACAGAATTGTATCTGATTCAGTTAGGGGGGGAACTCCCACTGAGATGTGCGCGGGTGACTGAATTTGTCCCAGATTCAAGCTATAAACGGCTTGTAAAAACCTTAGCGTGGCCAGTTTTTCAATTGCTGTTAATAGGGGCACAAGGAGGGGCAGCAACACCATTTTTGAAAGGAAGTGCTCCTCCCTGTGCGAGTGCAGGCAGATCTTCGGTGGCTAATGGACACTCCTCTGGCCAATGGATACTGCCTTGCCACCGTATGATCTGCTTGGAGATTACAATTGGTGACTCTTGTTTCAAACTGTAGATACCATTCTCTGTAACTGTGTATAATTTTTCATCACTCACTTACTTTTTCATGTAAATAATAAATACATTTGGGAACACATCTACATTCTATAAGTATAACAGCGACACCTGTGCTGCAGTGCAATGTGAACCAGTCAGAACTGCACTGAGGAGGGTGACAGACAGTCACCAAAATGTCAGCTGTGAATAAAACACTTGGTCTTTTTATTTAATGACCTTATCAACCTGATAAAACCATTCACAGATTACTCTGATGTTGAAATTATATCTAACAAGTTCTGACCTCTTCCTTTTTGAAGTCCCGTGACTTCCTGATATGTCCGTACAGGTTGAAGTACTTCATGTAGAGAACGTAGGCCTTCTCCTCATCCCCCAGCAGACTGTGCTCCAGGGCTGCCTTGTAAAGTTTGTTGGCAGAGTTACAGTAACTGGGAGGGAGAGAAACTAAGTCAATATCAAATCAAACCAAACTACAGGAAACTCACCTGACAGATGACTCAAACAAATGACAAGCTGTCTTTACTTTTCTTTATATCAAAATTTTGATCTGGCCACACTGTGCTTCATTCACGAAGCCCACGCATGGATCTGGATAGTACCAATGTGTGTCCACAACAGACTAGAGCACTTGAATCAATTTCTAGATAAACAAAGTGTTTGTCAGGATCCGTGTCTCAGGTAGCGCACAGTTCTGGACACGTGATGGCCTTGTCCCAAACCATGCCCGGGCACGGTCTGGGACACTCGGTGCGTGTTCCAAACCGTGCCTGGGGACTGAGCACAGTTCTTGACACGCAGTGGCCTTGTCCCAATCCGTGCCTAGTACCGCCAGTCACTATGATTGACAGCACTTTCGGGCACGGTTCTGGACAGTCAGGCTGTGTCCCGTTCTGTGCCCGCCCAGGCACGGTTTGGGACACAACAGCCCCCATGATGATGTCACCTTTTCAAGCTGATTCCCCGTTCAAACTTGACCTCTGCCAGCTTGTTGAGCCCGCCGACAGACGTGGACAGGTACAGGTTCTTCTTACTCACAGCCGGCATGGTGCAGATCTACAACAGAACAGACACAGCATCAGAATGGTATCTAGACGTTTTGCCGCCAGACAGGTTCGCAATTACAATGTAGACAATTCGCGGTCACTTCCTGAACGATTTGCGCGCACCGTGCACAAGCCATTTAAGGCTGCTACAATCACTGTCTGTTGCCAAGATAACTTTTAAGGACTGTTGTATTTATGCAAAGAAGTTATATATAGTCTCCACGATACACTTAAACCTCTTTGATTCCCACATCTTGACATGACTTTTTACCTCCGGGGAAGGAGACATCCTTCCGCGGAAGGGTTTTGTGAGAGATTTAGATTTTCATGTTCGCAGCTGTTTCTCGCATTTGGGTGGACGGATTCTTTTGAGACTCGGTATATGTTTTGCTATTGGGCTGCAGATGATGCACGTTCTTTTGTTTTTATTGTATATGTGTTTTCAGGCGTGAAAATGGTGCCTTTTGGTGGCCCCAAAACATCCCTTTGAGCGTGAAAGTGGTCGCAACCGTTGACCTTTGGCGTGTTTAAGCTATTCTCGGTCTGGTCCACGTATATGACCCCTCACACAGAGGGGTGTCCGGTCTCCGTAAATTCTTTGTTTAAAACCCTATATAAAAATATACAATAAAAAGGCCGGAGGTATAAAATCTCAGATTTTACTTGTTAAAACTGTTTTCTAACATACGTAACATACTTGTTGTTTGTGACATTGGCTGGAATATTACCTAAAAAGTATACAAAATAATTTCATCACATTATCAAATACTATTAAAGTTTACAGTCTTGATTTTTGCTGTCTAGAAACGTGACAAAACATGTTGACAGCGAATGATAAACAACCCGTGCAAATCGTCTGGCTGCAAACTCGTCTGGCGGTGAAACGTCTAGAAACCCATCAGAACAACCTGAAGATCATTCACTGATATAATCTATGCAAATTTGGGCATTATTAGCAGAATCAAGTAGAAACCTTTATACAAAATTATAATTACACTAACTTATGGAATTCTTCTTATCGATCCTGGGTACTAGTACATATGGGAAGTTTCTACGACCCACAAGGTATGATTTCCAAGGAAGCCCATAGCAAGTACAAATTATGTTGGGGTGTCAGTGTCTGTCAAAGGAGATAATTTATAATAAACATCCTTGGTCTGCCAGAAAACCTTACAGTCGCCAGTCCGAACATCTGCTTAGAGTTAGACTAGAGATATCATATCAGCTTGTAGATTTTTGTCCCTAGGTGAAACCCAAAGAAAACGGGTGACTTCAGGATGGAAAAAATAACTTACCAGAAAGTGTTGTACACCACGGCAATGTAGTCACCAAACTGTTTGGAAACAAACGACACGGAAACTCGTAAATAAAAGTTAGGTTATGTTACTTCCGCATATCGCGCAGCCATCTTGTTGATTTCATGACGTCAGCATCTTCAGCGCTGCTCAACAAAAATACACTTTTATTTCAGAATATGAAGATAAATGCAGCTAAAATTTAAGAAATACCATATTAAATACCCTGAGGTTAAAAATAGAAATTATATTTGTTGAATAATTTTTTGACGTATTCCTACGTCACCACAGCCTGTTTAGAAACCTCTCTCCAACATGTGTCCCTCCGCGTCAGAAAATAGCCTTCTCCTTCTTTTTCATATTTTACAAAAATTATCACTATTTCATACAAATTTATATAAAGTTTTAAGGACATATACTCATAGAAATCTACAACGTTCTGAAGGTAAGTTATTTTTGTTTTATTTTTAATCCTGCTTTCTTTCTTTCTTCTTGACCTTCCGCCAGACGAATGTGAAGAGGCGCCTGCCCACGCCATGTGCTTCCGGAAATAACAAACAGACTTCCGGCCGCCTGCAAAATATTTCTCCTTGTACCGAGAAAAACTCACCAATCCTGCCACCAAACTCAACTTTTACTGACTCTAAACAGGAAAAGGTACGTGTAAAAATATCGAGTAAAATTTTTAGCCGTGTAGAAAATACTTTTGGTTTGTTTCAACGATCTTTTTCCAGGTCAAGCTTCCAGCCGGATGTGCCCTTTCCTCAGGGCTCGATTTCCGCTTTTGGGACATTTTCTCGTCCATCTTTACCGGGAATTTCCAGCAAAAAAACGTCACGAGAACGTCGAGTTACGCCTTATAACTGGGGGGCGTTATATTTAATCTGTTTACAGAGTATCGGGGTGGATAGAAACGATACTTCTAGGCCAGTCTTTTGCAAAACGTTGCTGAAATCGCAGAGATGAGGGCGTGAGGTGATATTTGTGACAGTGGCGATGTCTACAGTGGGTTTACGGAAAACCCAGGCCATGGGTTTACAGCTGTCCGGTCTGGCTAAGTAGATATAGGCTGCCTTTCTAGACCTTAAAGACATACAATGTACATGGGTCATCAGCTGCAGAAAGTTGGTAACCAACCCTAGCAGGGTAGCCTTTTGGAGGCATGAATTTTTTTTGAAATCTGATTCAAACCCTCATAAATGACATTTTCATGCATAATTTTTCGAGGCACATTTTTCAGTCCATCACGGTTAGGGCGGGTTCTTTTGAGGACTGCAGGAGCTCTTCCTCATCCGACTTGGCTAGGTTCCCCGCTGGTAGGTTTTGCACAACGAGCTGATTTAGAATTTTCAACTCCCCGGGCATATACATAACTCTATCACAGGCATAATATTTGCAAGTTGGGCTGCCAGTTGAGCTGGACGGTGGAAAACTAGAGCCCCCAAACTAGAGAGAGCTCATCCCGGGACACCAACCACGGAACAAGAGGCACCAGGCTCAAACAAAACTTAAACCCTTAACTGCCAATTAGATATTAATATTTCTGAAGTTATTGAAGAAGTTCAGAGGAACATGTTATTTGTCCAAACCTGTACCTACATGTAACCCTGTGTATTAGTATAACTTATAAGCATTCTTGCACGGTTATTCTGGACCGTAGGGTACTTTCTCTTTGCAGCCAAGCGCTGAATTGCAAGGAGGTATAACAATCGGTCATTTTTATAGCTATGGATAATCTCAATACGTACCCCCATATTTGCAGCCAAAGATTTGAACCACTCACATCGGGAGGATCCCCTAATAGTTTTGATGGACTGCATTGGTAGATACTTTAAGTTTATTATGCTCGAGATGTGGTGCACGTGGCTGTCCTCAAACATGCAAGCAACCATTTAATGTCCTGAAAGTGAGGAAAGTTACAAGTGCAAAAATGTCCTGTCTTTGTATCTCTCTTAAATTAATCTATGTATTATGCATGTATATATTATATACATGTGCATAGTGATGCATACCGGTTCACTGGACTTGGATCCGGACTTGTAAGAATGTTTAGGTTCAAGTCCAAAAAAACCTAAAAGTCAAGAACCGAGTCCGGACTTATTACCATAAAAGACCAAATTCACATACCCCTTTTTCACTTTTTAAACCACCTAAAACCTTCCGTAGATTCCAAAATCTTTGCTGCAAAATGAAGAAAACATTGCCATCGGGAATCCTCAAGTTATGTTGCCAAAGTTTCACCCATGATAACATTGCAAGGTTGCCAACATGCAATTTTGTATATGCCATGGGTTTAGGTTACAAGTCCGGACCAGAACCTAAACCTCTGGACTTGAATCCGGACCTGAACCTAAAATTGGGTTAAGGTATGCATCACTACATGATGTGCATATAGATAGATAAATAGAGCGACTTGCTGCTACCAAGTACTGTCATGGTCACTTTGAACAACATTATTACAGTTCCAAAACGTATGATGTATAGCAAGTCGTTTTGTGTAATACATATGTAAGACAGTACCGACACAAGTAATGCTTAGGCATATTTACAAGAAACTGCCAAACAACTACAACAATAAAGTTGTCTTTTTCACTATACATCGACATGTGTTCTTGTGTTCCTTTGATTCATTTTGCTGTTCAGAATTTTTTTTTTTTTTTACATTTGTACATCAGAAAAAAAATGAAGCAAGCAAATCCAACAACCAAGTGATCCAATTGGTGTGGTCTTATTGTATTTAAGTAATTCTGAATTTGTTTTCAAGTTAAAACTTTTGTTCCAACACGTTAATTGTAAATTCTCTCACCTAGAGCTTTCGACCAGTCACTGGCCTTCCTCAGTAGACTGACCCCAGACCCAATGAGAAATATTGGCTTCTCTGAAGTGTTATGACAACAACTTGGGTCAAACTCAAAGGTATCTGGTAAACGATGTCGTCCCCCGGGGCAGGCTGCAGCACTCACACTGATTGATTGATTGATTGATTGACAGGATGTCTCTGGCGGCTAACATGAACCCAATCCCGGGGCAGGCTGCAGCGCTCACACTGATTGATTGATTGATTGATTGATTGATTGATTGATTGACAGGATGTCTCTGGCAGCTAATGTGAACCCCACCCCGGGGCAGGCTGCAGCTCTCACACTGATTGATTGATTGATTGATTGATTGATTGATTGATTGACAGGATGTCTCTGGCTGCCAACGTGAACCCCACCCCGGGGCAGGCTGCAGCGCTCACACTGATTGATTGATTAGTTGAATGATTGATTGATCCTGACTGCACCACAGGATGTCTCTGGCTGCTAACGTGAACCCCACCCCGGGGCAGGCTGCAGCACTCACACTGATTGATTGATTGATTGATTGATTGACAGGATGTCTCTGGCTGCTAACGTGAACCCCACCCCTGGGCAGGCTGCAGCGCTCACACTGATTGATTGATTGATTGATTGATTGATTGATTGACAGGATGTCTCTGGCTGCTAACGTGAACCCCACCCCTGGGCAGGCTGCAGCGCTCACACTGATTGATTGATTGATTGGTTGATTAGTTGATTGATTGATTGATTGATCCTGACTGCACCACAGGATGTCTCTGGCTGCTAACGTGAACCCTACCCCTGGGCAGGCTGCAGCACTCACACTGATTGATTGATTGATTGATTGACAGGATGTCTCTGGCTGCTAACGTGAACCCCACCCCTGGGCAGGCTGCAGCGCTCACACTGATTGATTGATTGGTTGATTTATTGATTGACAGGATGTCTCTGGCAGCTAACGTGAACCCCACCCCGGGGCAGGCTGCAGCGCTCACACTGATTGATTGATTGATTGGTTGATTAGTTGATTGATTGATTGATCCTGACTGTACCACAGGATGTCTCTTGCGGCTAACGTTAACCCCACCCCGGGGCAGGCTGCAGCGCTCACACTGGTGGACCTGGGGAAGAGACTGCTGGATGCTGCCAGGAAGGGTCTGGATGAAGAAGTCAGGATGCTCATGTCCAACGGGGCACCCTTTACTACAGACTGGGTGAGAACTAAAGACTTGGAATCAGTTACTATGTACTTACATGTACATAAACAAGACTCTCATACTTAGCTGAAGGGGGGCAGGCAATATGCAACAAATGTAAGGTCATAAAAGAACGAAATGAAAGAAAGAAAGAAAGAGAGGGAGAGAAAGAAAGAAAGAGAAAAGAAAGAAAGAAAGAAAGAAGGAAAAAAGAAAAATTGTAGTCTTTGCTTTGCCTACGTATTGCACCTGTATTTGCATGTACTTACTACAATTAACAGCCATGTAAATTTGTTGATCACATTGAAACAGGTGCTTTGAAAAAGCCTGCACAGTGTTGAAGGAAAGGGCAAATAAAGGATGGAAGCCTAATATTCATGTTTTAGCTTATTACTGAACCCTAGACTGAGATCATGTAGTGAGATGGCTCAAAATTTGCACCTGCTATCTATAGATTGTGTGTATACGTGTGTGTGTATATGAATAGAAAAGGTGATATTCTGTTATCCATACATACAGCTGGGAACCTCCCCACTCCACTTCGCAGCCCAGCACGGTCACACGTCCACTGCAGAGGTGTTACTGAGGGCAGGGGTCAGTCGGGATGCAAGGTCAGTCATCATACTGTAACATGTAGTACTGGTCACTTCTGTGTCTGTCTTAGGCACTTAGGCCATGTTGATTTGATTATATGGATGACATCCTCAGGAAACCCCAAAACTGATGCGCGCGTGCGAATAAAAAAAAAGTTTTGCAAAAAAAAAAAGTTGCTTTCACTATGAAGTCTACGTGGTCATGAAGGTTGAACAAATGGCACAGAATATGTTATGGCGAATAATCTACAACTCTTCGAATTCATTTCTTTACATTTTTGTCTTTTTTCCTTTGATTTTGGCATTCTACGACATTGGTATCATTTCTAAAAGTTTTCCTTGCAGCTTATGGTATATTTTTGCTCGTTTAGCAACTGTTTTTGCACGATTTACAGTATGGTTGAAAACTTTTTTTTTTTGGAAACGGGCGAAAATTCATGCGCGCGCGGATGTCATCCATATAATCAAATCAACATGGCCTTACTAAGTGTTACTGCCAATCTGTGTTCCAGAATAGTTCACCTATTTCCAGAAATGAATTTCAAGCCCTGTTGTACCCGGTTTTTTTTTAAATATTCCAACATGTAATTCACAATTCAACTTATATTAATGCCGCCACCAACACACAGGACAATACAATACTCATTTTCACCTGAGCGAAGTGAGGAAAGTCCTGTAAAGTGCCTTTCCCAAGGCATGTATTTGGATAGTTGCATCTTGGAAGTCCAGCCTTTTAATAACAGTTTTGACAACAGTTTATTCATAAAAACAGCCTCGCAGCCTATACAAAAACATGCTGAATAACACTGATTTTTTTTTACAGTTACTAGCCTGGCAAATACAAATCAACATTACAATACATATACAAACACACGAACAAAAACATTACAAAAAGCCTCACATGGGCACTAAAGTAAAGACCAGAGAGTCCTTAGAGTCTTACTGCAAAGACTTGCTGTACAGGCAAATGGCCTTGTGTAAGAAAGAGTTTTTTCAGTCTTTTCGTACGGGCTGCAGCTGCAGCTGCTAGTACTATAAGTGCTGTACTTTTGAAGTCTTGCTGTATCCCTGTTGTGTTTAGGACTAAGGTAGACAGGACTCCCCTGCACATGGCAGCACAGGAGGGACATCTGGACATTGTGGAGATGCTCATCAAAAATGGAGCTGATGTAAACGCCAAAGACATGGTAGGCAAACAGGGAACAGATATAACTCAGAAAATTATTTTCCAGTAATATTTGTATCGTTATAGTGTCACAATAGTAATGGGTAGATAATTGCCAAACTTTTGAATTGGTGTATATGAACTCTTGCCTCTTTCATTTACCCACAATCATCTTTTTTCATTGTATTGAACATGAGAAAATTGTGCAGAATATACTATCATACTAGGTTCAAGAATGATATGTTAGTTTAAGTTGAATGTGAAGCTGATGGTACATTCTGTACATGTAGCTGAGGATGACCCCCCTCCACTGGGCTGTAGAGGCAGGACATAAAGACATCGCCAAGTGCCTGATGAGGAACGGAGCTGAGCTGTATGTAGAGAGTAAGGTGAGGCAGTATCATATAAGGCCACAGCAAGTAAATCTTATGGATGACATCCTCCGCAGACTCCAAATCTAATGCGAGAGGGTGAAAAATAACAAGATGGGCCAAAAAAAACAAGGTTCGTACATTTTAAAATTTTGACTCAATCATTGTGCAAATGGTTTTGATTCAGTGGGAACATCACATATACACAGCCATCATCACATATCAGTGCATCAAAGTAAGAAACAAAACATTAAATCAGAGCCTTTTCTTGTCTCCTCTCTTCATAGCTATCTGCCATCCACCTTCCGGCATGGCAACAGACATCTTTGCCCATTATTTTTTGGCATGTTGTCTACTGTTAGGCCACACCAATTTAATTTGTTGGTTCTCGGATTCGCCTCTTCGTTTTTTTCTGATTTGCAAAAATAAAAGAATTTGATTCTGGTCCTGAATCAACTGAAAAATGCTCATGTTTTGCCCCCCAACAGTTGAGGAAAGTCCTTTGCTTCCTAGTTGTTACAGTTTATTCCATCTATCATTGCAGTGGTTTGATTAAAAGTTCAAAATTCAATGTTTAAATTTTAACCCAGCCTTTTGTGTTGACTTCATGGCTCATTTTGTAGCATTTAAGCCTATAATAGGATGCCTAGACCTGTTTTTATTTTTATTTTTTTTCGCCCTGTCGCTTCATATTTTTTCTGAAAAAATCCGAGAACCAACAAATTAAATTGGTGTGGCCTTAGAAGGTAACAAAATTTCTTGTTTGTTTTTTCCAAAATCAGGCGAAAATTAATGTGTGCGCTGATGTCATCCATAAAACTTAATTGCTGTGGCCTTATACATGTACCAGGGCTAGTACTGTGTACAGGTTTGCTGAACCGGTTCCGGATTTGTAGAAATGTTTAGGTCCAAGTCCAAAAAAACTACAAGTCAAGAACCAATTCCGGACTTATTACAAAAAAAGTCACATACCCCTTTTCTTTCCAAATTTGAGCCACCTAAAACCTTTCATAAATTTCAATATCTTTGCTGCAAAATGAAGATAACATTGCCATCGGGCATCATCAAGTGTCGGCCACAGTTTTGGCAATACAACATTGCAATGTTACCAACATGCAATTTTGTATATGCCATGGGTTTAGGTCTGGACTCACGAGTCCGGAACTGAACCTTAACCTCTGGACTTGAATCCGGACCTGAACCTAAATGTGGGTTTAGGTACACAGCGCTAACCAGGGCTCAAAATACTTTTTTCTAAATTCAAAATTACCTGTACCAGACAAATTTTACTTGCACCACTTAGATTGAAGAACTATGATAATCATGATTATGGATCCTACATGTACTTGAAACTGTTCAGAAACCTTTCAAAAAAGTTTTCAATTGAGAATCACTCCATTTTGTCTCCATTCACCAGTTTCCCATCCCAGAAAGCATTGCGAAAACGGGTCTAAACCTCATTTGCATAGGACAGGAAGGCATCGGAATGATCCTGGTGACGTTAAACAGCTTGCTTTTCACTGTGTTTTGAGGTGTTGGGGAATTTTATGCTTAATGTTAATTAAATTACTATGGGTTGAATCTGACAAGAAATAGAGAATGAATTTTTTTGAATATGTGGTTTGTAACGTTATAGTGGTAACGCTATACTGATGCTGTAACGTTACAAACCACATGTTCCATGTTGAAAAGAGCACAAAAACTTCTCTATGTGTTGTCAGATTTGACGCATAGCTATTGTTGAGCATGATTGCCCCAACACCTCAAAACACAGTGAAAAGCAAGCTGTTTAACGTCACCAGGATCATTCCAATGCCTTCCTGTCCTATGCAAATGAGGTTTAGACCCCCGTTTTGCAATGCTTTCTGGGGATGGGAAACTGGTGAATTGCAGCCTTGGGACTGATTTTGTTGTGATTTTTTCAGTTTGAGAAGACGGCATTTGACATCACCATGGACAAAGGAGATGATGAGATGCTGAACCTACTCAGGGTAAGAATGGCAGAATAACATGTCAATCACTCAATAAGTCATACCAATCTAATGTAACAATGGGGGGTTTATAGGCGCTACCAACTGACCCGGCCGAAGGGTCTAGACCTTTTAGCCGAGTGGCTAGAGTGTCGGTGTGTGGACTGGTGCCCGGGTCTGGTCGTGGGTTCGAACCCCGGCCCGGGACCAGTGGGTTTTTATCTGCTTCTACTCGCTCTTCCTGTTTCTTACACTAATTTCTTTGTTCTCAGATATTCCTGTATGATTTTTCTCTGATTTAATAAATGATCACAATCTTACCATTCTTGGCACATACTACAAAAATATTTTGATATTAACAGTTAAAAGTTAAAACTTTTGGTCCAACACAAAAATTTCCCTTACCTAGAGCTTTCGACCAGTCACTCTGGTCTTCCTCAGTAGATTGACCCAGTGAGGCTTGTCACGTGGCTTCTTTGAAGTGTGACATCAACACTGGGTCAAAGGTAGACGATGTCGGCCCCCGTCGTGGTTCAGTGAAGGGTGATGGGCCCTGATGTATTGTTCAAGTTCAAGTTGTTGTAATGCTGTTGAATTTTTTATTCCTCCAGCAGGGAAATGTGAATGGCAACAGTACAGAAAGGTTATCTACGTCTGGCACACCCACCACCATCTACCTGACACAGACCAGCGGGGCAGCCACACCGGTGTTCCTGCCTACAGCTACTCTGGTCACATCAACATCTACCAACAAGACCAACAGTGGGGCCAGTAAGTACAAACTCTTAAATACAGTTTGGTGCTGAAAGACCATCCCCCACCTGAACTATCATGTACCACCCCTTTCCTTGGTGCTGAAAGACCATCCCCCACCTGAACTATCATGTACCATCCCTTTCCATGGTGCTGAAAGACCATCCCCACCCTGAACTATCATGTACCACCCCTTTCCTTGGTGCTGAAAGACCATCCCCACCCTGAACTATCATGTACCATCCCTTTTCTTGGAGCTGAAAGACCATCCCCACCCTGAACTATCACGTACCATCCCTTTCCGTGGTGCTGAAAGACCATCCCCACCCTGAACTATCATGTACCATCCCTTTCCTTGGTGCTGAAAGACCTTCCCCACCCTGAACTATCATGTACCATCCCTTTCCTTGGTGCTGAAAGACCATCCCCACTCTGAACTATCATGTACCATCCCTTTCCTTGGTGCTGAAAGACCTTCCCCACCCTGAACTATCATGTACCATCCCTTTCCTTGGTGCTGAAAGACCTTCCCCACCCTGAACTATCATGTACCATCCCTTTCCTTGGTGCTGAAAGACAATCCCCACCCTAAACTATCATGTACCATCCCTTTCCTTGGTGCTGAAAGACCATCCCCACCCTGAACTATCATGTACCATCCCTTTCCTTGGTGCTGAAAGACCACCCCCCACCCTGAACTATCATGTACCATCCAACCAAGGCTCGAAACTAACGGTGTCCCGATGGCCACTGACCACTAAAATTTAGGCCGGGGCACCTGAAAAATCATTTTGGGACACTTTTGGGACAATAGAAAAATAACATCAGAATGTCTGCCCTTCATGCGTTTATCAGGCGCGCGGCGTTGATCGAGCCGCTAATCGCTATTCATTCCATAATTTGTCGGCACAATCTTGTGAATTGTCGATGAACGGTCGATCTCGCCATGACGCCACAAAGAAAACGTTGTCATTGGTAGAAAATCAGACACCCCGCTGGCGTTTCACAACACAATTTTCATGTAAACAACTCCGACTGTCTCTGTTTACACGTCAAAGTGCGCCGATAATACAAAATAAAAATCCTGCTGACCGCATGGTTGCGCATGCTACGCTAGTTTTCGGCGGCTCGACGGAGAAATAATCCATCCCCAGAAGAAATGGTACGCATGAAAATAACAACTATAACCTGATTTTCTCGTTATATTTGTTTTTGAGGCCATAAAATGTTTCAAACGGTTGAAATTTGTCCGAAAAAAACTGCTGAAAAGTCCATTTGAAAGTCTGAGAAAAATGGCTGACAACAAAACAACAGTGGAGGTGAAGATAGCATCCAAACGTACAAGATATTACAATGTGCTAAAACGATACCTCATCATCATCATCATCAAACGATACCTCAAAAGTGTGAAAAATATTTCTTTTGTCAGCCACAACAGAAATAAAAATTCACTCATATTTTTAGAAGGTTAATTTTCAAACATAACTGTGAAAATTTGCGAATTTATTGGTTTCTAGTATCAGAATATAATATTGTTGTTTCTATAAATGTGCGGTTGGATGCTGTGAAGGACTTGATTATTTGATAAATTGATACATTGGGAGAGATATTAGATCCCGGTGTCCCTCAAAAATTGTTTAAGAGTAGGAGTTTATAGATATAATCACATTTTTATTTGTTCAGTTGTGTCAATATGTGATTTTGTTTGGTTTAAGGAAATATGATTGGGTTACTAGCTTAATAAGTTTGGCTCAGTTTTTAATATTATATCAGTAACAAGTTTGTATTACTTGCTCCAAGTTCCAGGTAGTAAATACATGTACAGTTCGTATCATGTATTTTTCACTTGTTGAACTTGTGGAAGCACCGATGGCCCCCGGTTAGGGGTCATCCGGGGAACCTATGCCCAATTTTTTTTCAAAATTAAGTGTGCTAATACAAACTTTTCAACCATGAAGAGGATATTATAGAATTAAGTACAGATCTTGAACATTTCTCCTGCCTCATAAGTCTGCAATTGTACAGTATATGTATAACTGAAGTTGCAGGAAATGACCTCCATTTTGTGTTTGAAAAGCAAAATGCAATAGCTAC